CGCTGCTGTGCCCATGCTGCGCCCTGTCAGCGTTTAAAAACGTATTTAAACGTTGTGTGTCTCTCGCTGGTTGTGTTAATGACGTTTGCTTTCAGGTTTGGAAAGGGTAAAATGCAAATCAAGCGCTGAACTTAGTTCTTTGCAGAACAGAGCGCTTTCAGGTGTGACCACCCCCCATCACTTTGTAGATGTTGAGATTTGTTTTGTAAAACTTAATTTTGCACCTCAGTTACCTGAGGCCTCTCAGTATATTGCCCTGAAATATACTCGTCCAAGAACCTTGAATATGTTTCATGTGATATAACTCTGGCCTGTAACATTTGCCAAATGCATTTCTTCAAAAGTTCTTATGCCTGCAGTTATTTCTTCTTGCCTTTTACCTACTTTTTGCGGTGGCTGTAGGTTAAATTAAAAGGGGTTTTTTTGGGTTTTTTGTTTTTTTTTTTTAATTTCAGGTATTAGTCTTTTCTTGTTTAAACTTACAGTTCTTATAGGTCACATGTTAAGTACCCAGCCTCGGCCCAGGTGAGAACTGGCTACCACAACTACTTTAAAAGTGAATTTCAGTTGTGTTGTGTTTTGCCACAGAGCCCTGTAGCTGGATTTTTTTGAACGTTACATTTCAATGCACTGTCATTGTGCTATGATGCGTGGTGTTTTCTTACCAACCTGGGAGGAGTAATTTTATTAGTGTGGAAATAAAATAGATTTAATTTCCATCAGTCTTCAGGAACCTAGATGGAACCTCACTTTCACAAACTACTGTGCGTTGTCTGAAAAACTGCAAAATTCTGGTACTAGTATTCTCGTTCAGCGTACAAGGAACCAGAGATTACCTTAGTTATCTCACTGTCTGCATTTCTGTCAATTTTCTGTTCGTGGGAAACGTTTGAAAGCTTGCATAGTCTTCAAAATAACAATGTGTTCTCTGACCAAATCGTGTGAACTACCCATTTGATGCAGAAATTAAGATTCACATTCCATATTCAGAAGAACCATAAAAGATTTGTCTGGTTCTTCTTTCTCTGTGTAATCTTGCTTCCAAGAAGATGGGTGGATGGCTAATTTTGAAATATCCCAGAGCTTTTCAAAAGGTGAATGAAACCAAGCTCAGCTTTTGATAAGCGAAGGTGCTGTATGGTGACACGAAGCAGGAAGCCCTAAATGATTTCATGTTCAATGAACTTACTTTGAAGTTAAGGCTAGCTGCATCTCAGGAAGTATAGGTGAAATGCATTGTGTGCAAGAAACTTTGTATTTCTTGAAGCACTTAGAGTTCCTAAACATCTTGAAGGTACTTGAACAATATTAATAATTTCATTTGGAAGAAAAAGCTGCATCCTTTTCATCAAGCTCAAGTAATTTATACGAAGTTCCAAGCAGTCATCGATACTGGAAGTAGGGATTACAAGGTAGCAAGGCCCTCATTAAAAACAGCACCGTTTTTTAAACATGTTCCCAAGTCTTTGAGTATCTTCTATGTCTAATATGATTAGGTCAGATTTCAGTCTCCAAACAAACTTTTAAGTCTTTGCATTTCATTTAGGCTTGTCTTGTACTGTGTTTGGAGGTGCTGGTCAGGAGTTTAAGAAATGGCATAGATTTGGGTTTTAACTGTGAGAAGCAACTGCTAATTTAAATTTCTTTACTTGCAGAAGCCATTCATGCCATTTTGGTTTACAGCCAAAATGTAGAAGAACTTCTGAAACGCAGAAAAGTCTATCGAGAAATAATTTTTAAGTATTTGGCAGCACAAGGAATTCCAATGCCTCCTTCCTCTGAGAAACATCTACTCATTGATAGTGTAAAGCAGTACTGGAGTGGGCAGCTCACAACACATGCCTCAGAGTCAGGGGACAGAAAACCGCACACACAGGTGAGTGCTGCTTTCTGCAAGACCTGAGGATGCTTAGCGTTGCTTTTGCAGGATAACCAGTCTAAATGTTCTAATGTACATCCAAAATGTGGCTCTTCACCTGTATGTAGGAAGGTCCTGAATCTCTTTAACTCTTGGTTTGTTTGGTTTTGATTGGATTTTTTTATTAAAATTACATCACTGAAAGGTGTCTGTGCCAATGTATCACTTGCAGAGCATAGTCTTCTGCTCTGTCTTGCAAAGTATATTAGTGCATTTGTGTGGGGTCTTCTCTATGCTTTTAATTTTTGTTGTACTGTAAGCTAAAATAGAGGGTATTCACAAATAATTCTGTGGATTCAAGGACAGCTGAAAACAGTTTTAATGGTACAGGAACCCTCCATAGCCCCTTGCCGTTTTTTAGTGTGGTGGATCTTCTTAAACTTTTGGTATAGATCTGGGATTTCCAGTCATCCTCCAGCCACACCAGGCACTAGAGATACCATTGGTAGGGCACATCCTAGAGCACAGCAAAGAGATGCTGTCGACAGTAGATCATAGGGTGAAAACATCTGTCAGACTGTGGTCTAAAATGTTGCAGGGGAGGGAGGGAATGGAGAGAAACTGCCTTTTTCTAAGTGGCCTTGATCTACTTCTAGAGACAGTGCAATCGAAGTAGCACTGTCTGTAAGCTGCTTTCCTTCTTACCTCTTGCAGTTAGAGTGCAGAATGGATTTTAGCGAATTTTTATACCATTGAAATGTAAAGTTTATAGCAGTGCCAGGTCCGTGTCATTTTTATCCCTTGATATTAGTAACACTTAATACAGTGTAACTAAATATGTTTTGGCCAATTACAGGTTATTTTGAAGTTCAGAGTCTTGTCATTTAGCAAATCCTCATGGTGTAATGAACTTTCAGTGGTTTATTTGTCTTGGATCTTTACCATGTAGTTCTAAATAGCCACCTTGCTCTTTCAAGTGTTGCACTTCGGAGACCTCGCGGGCAACAGCCCCACCAGCTGGACTGTTAGAGCTCTGTAGCTGTCGATAGCCTACTGCACTGAGCTTTCTTTCAGGGATTAACTGATGAGAATTATGATTTAGCTGAGAGTGGTTTTCAAAACAATTTTTTGTGTGCATACTTTGGGAAAAAGAAAAAATGTTGCTTTTGCAAGAATACTTCCCACGTATTACCCCGTAGTGAAGTTTTATGATTGAAGGTAAGTAAATTAAATTCTCCAAAGTACTTGAAACACATTCACAAGGAATGAGAAATTCAGCTGGTTTATTTATGACATACATCTTTCTTTGCCTTTGTTTTCTCTTAATTCTTGTGGACCTCACCATTTTGAAGTAATGGATAACATGAACCTATGTAACAGAATTAGAACTTAATTACAGTTTATTGTGAAACAAATGCAGCGTTTCTATATAGAAGTCTTTAAACTTTTCATACTTAATTACTTAATACTTACTTAAAACCTACTTAATTTAATACTTACTAGACTTTGATGTTAGCAAGCTTGACATTTGATTTATTTCTAGAAGTCTTGCTGTCAAGTTGCAAATACTGAGAAGCCCTACAAAGTAACAGTACATTTAGTTCTTGTTCAAAAAACACGTCACCTGACAGTTGGAAGTCATGTATCTTTACATTGGAAAGTTTGGATGATTTTTCTTAAGTTAAAAATCTTACCTATTGTAAGAGAAACCAGAGGATAAATAAACTACATATGTACAAATTAAATAGGCTCACAGGACTGTTACTTGAGCATCTGATTGTTGCCTTTTACAGTGATGCTTCCTTTAGAAAGAAGTGTCCTCTAAACCAAAATGTGTTTTTATAATCAACTTAAAAACCTGTCTTAAATATCTTAATTGCTAAGCAACTTGTTTCCTAAATGTTTGTGCTTAAATTTTGCTATTCTTTTACACATAGTTGTAGACATGCCAAGAATTCAAATACAAGGAATAGATTTTTTTTTTTTCTTAGCTTGACCCATAATAGTATCTAAAAAATCTTACTGCTTACTTTGTTGCACTACATATTTAGTGATACAACACTTGGAGTGGTTTGTCACCCTCTTCTGATGTGGTTTTAATAACATGACCATTGGTTGCTCACTGAGACTTTTGCTACTTACTGTGAATTTGGCTTCAAAACATTATACCCACCACTCTGTTGTCAGCCTCAGCAACCCGTCATTAAACTTAAATATTGTTTAGAAGTATTTCTTATCCCCCTACATCTTAGATGTATTTTAGGAGTGTGTGTATGTCATTTTCTGTGAAACAAGATAAAAAAGGGCACAAGTGGCTTGTCCATAACCTATAGGGAACTAGTGGAAGATGTGTTTTGAGTAGTGTCATGCTCTCTTTAACTGGCCCATTCTTCTCTAAGGCTTCTAGACAAGAATCTTTGACCGAGCCTTTTCAAATTATTCTTTGAAGGTTTGGCTGTCAGCTAGGAATGTTTACTTTGTGTCACTACTTAAAAATACTTTCTCAGCAAGATTCAGTGTTGAACAAAGGATTTTGTGGCAGTCTGAAGGAAGGATTTTATGACAGACTGAACGAAGAGGCCTTTATTGCCAGAGTAAGCCTATGCTGCTATGTGAAAATCCGTGCAGCCCTCCTATCCCAATGTCACATTGTGTCAGTCTGTTTTAAGTGATCAGTTGTACAATTAGAAAAGTAACTGAGATTTCTCAAGACTTTTGTCTATTTTGGAGGAGCAAGGGTAACATATGTTATGGTTTTCTTTGATTTGGACTCTTTTCCTATTAGAAATATGCTGAAGACTACAAAAAGCACTCATGAAAGTGACCAAGCATCTTTTGGATGATTTTTGTCAGTCTTGCTGCAAAACAGGGCTAAATTCAGACACGTGATCTGGTGGAGAATAAGTTCTGGAACACATTAAATCTTTGAGTTTCAGTTCTTCCTGTGTTAGTTGTGCATTTTGTTAGCGTATTCCACTGACATAGGTAAAATAACCCCATAAATCAGAAGTGTTCTGTTGGCGTCAGGTATTAGGATGTGTATATTCAAAATGTGACTTCCTGATAAGTACTATTTGTTCTTGTCAGCTAAATGAAGATGCAGAAATCAACACAGTTCACAGAATTAAAAGGTACCAAAAAGAAGAGACTGAAGGCAACGTGAAACAGGAAGAACATGTCAACATAATTGCTTCTTTATAAGCACTTTTTAGTAAATTGATACACCTTAATATGAGATTAGCTTTTCAGTTGGGTCTGTATCCTTCTTGTTTTTCTGTAACCTTCTTTGGAAATGTAAAGGCCAGTGAAAATTTACTAACCCAGGCACTTTTTACTCAACAGAAATTTTGTCTCTCAGTGTGAGAATCTTGGTCTTATGGAAGTCTTTAAAAAATCCTTGCCTTGCTCTTTCAGTAGAACCAGGATTTTCCTCTTTGTTTATAAATCGTAGACCAAGACAAAACTGAAGGACTATTCTAACTGTAATTCAAAGAACCTGCCCTGTTTCTCTAGATAAGATAATCATGATCTTAAAAATAAATGAGATTTTACTTTGTTGTTTTTCTATAGGCTCTCTGTCTCAGAACACTTTAGGAAGACTTAGAATGTTTAAAATAAGTATTTACATGTTTTTATGTTGTTCTAAGTGGTAAACTCGCATGTTAAGGCTAAATAGTTCTAAGAAAAAAAATGTGCTTGATTGCAGAGTCATGGAGAGAGACAAAAGTCACTGCAAGATGACATTCACGATCTAGGAGAAGAATTCTGTCAATGGTTCTTTGCACTCCTGAATTCTCAACATCCCTTGGGAGTAAAATCTGAAGAAAGATGGGGACCAGAGCATTTTTGGGAGGATGCCAAAATGAAGTTCTGTTACAACACATTAGAAAAAAACACGGAAGAATATGTTGGTTCAGAAATGGTGAGCCTTCGTCTGCTCTCATTGGTTAAAGAAGAATATCTTCTATTCAACCCTAATTTGCGTGCCAACGGACTGAAATGTGCCATGTCTCGGCATGGGTTAGTACTGGTAGCAGTGGCTGGCACGGTACATAGAGACAACACTTGTTTGGGCATGTTTGAACAAATTTTTGGACTCATTAACTGTCCCATTAGGGAGAATACCTGGAAAATAAAAGTTGTGAATCTTAAAATAGTTGGACAGAATGCTCTGGAGCCTGGGATGCAAATTGAAAAACCCTCCATAAAATATGAGCCAAACCAACTGCAAGAGTTGTACGATGGGAAGGAACTGACTGTGTTCGAACCTCAGAAATTCTGAGCAATTTTTTCACAACTGAGTAACTGGGTGAGGGGGAAAATATACAGCACTTGTAGTACATAGTTGAATATTGAAATGATTGCGACCATGTGATGATGTCTCTTTTTTGAGTCAGATTTGCTGGACAACAAACTGAGATACAGAGTCTTAAATATTAATACAGGTGATGCTTTTGGGCACCTTTCCCAGAGCTAACAAATGTTTCAGAGTATTACTTTAGATTTTGTACTGCAGTTAGGAATGGAGCTAGTTTGGTTATTCTTGGTTACAAAACATGGTTATGTTTAAATACGGGTTGGCAGCAGTATGTAATGAGCTAGATGACTTGGGGTTCACAAACTGCAGGTTGTTTCTCTTCAGGCCACCAGTTTAAACTCTTACCTGAGTTGTAACAGGAAGTCATTGCATCAGACTTTTTGAAAATGGAATTGATGAGTGTCTAAATGGACATGTAAGTCCCAAGAAAACCATCTGCCGCTTCAGGAGTTTTTGGAGAGAACAGACAACGTGAATGGAGACTGCTGCCATTTATGTTCTAAATGTGGTTCCGTCACTGAGCAATAGCAGTAGTTTAATGGGACAATGCAGGGAGATTCACATTGTTGAAGTCTTGTTTTTCTTTGGGTTAATAGCTTCCTTTCCTTTTACTTTATGGTTCCAACTTTGTAATGAATACAGACAAACTCTGTTGTTCTGTCTGTGTCCCCAAGCAGACAAATTTGAGATGGTTGCCCAGGCATCCATTTCTAGCACTGACTCTCTTGGATCAAGTAGTTGATTTCATGACTTAGAGCAGCACTGTATGAACCAAATGCTTTGATAATTATTTTGTGTATACTTACAACAGAGTTTTTAATATAATAGTTGTGATTTTTCTATGTTTTCTCAAAATAAGAATTTTATCTACTCTGAGCTGCTTTATTACATAGACTAGAAGTCAATTTGTTAACAATGGGCAGTTAAAACAACAAGTGATATTAAATAATCCAATTAGTGCTTAATAACTGAAATGATTGCCATTGTAGAACTTGAATTTTTTTACTGTTTTTTAAATTTATGAGGGATTAGAGGTGAAATTTTTCCACAGCTTGTGCAGATAGTTTGCGAGTTATAGCTTCAATACAAGCTGTGAAAATGGAAACATTCCCCGTGACATGGGAACAGTTCTTTTGGCTTTGATATGTTTGTCAAAGACAACAAATGGTAAAATTATGGGTGGGTGAGGGAAAACAAGAAGATTCAGGTGTGCACAGAACTTATTCTTATGAACAGTCTGAATCTTGACTTGTCTTAAAAAATTTCTAAAGTAATTTATTTTCTAAGCGAAAGTTCAAATACTGTGTTGGAATGTTCTTTCCCAATAAATAGTTGGGTTGTGGCTTCTTCAGGTACTGCTGTATAATCAATAAAAATCAACCCAGATTTAAAATTTGGAAGAAGCAGTTTCCTTGTATGTGTTGAGAATTACATTCCTCTTCAGGTGAGGACAAAAGCCTACCTAAAGGCCTAAATGGGTACTTTTTCAACATTCAGTATGACAGTCTGTAATTCAATTAAATATTTTGTCATTTGCAGAACTGTACTTTGTAACTGGCAGCATAGCTATTACTTTAGTCAGCATGTTAAATAAATACAAACATGACTGTAGCTTTCATTACTGCTTTAAGCTGATGTGGTGCGGGCAGTCCCGTTCCTCCACTCAGGTGTGTGTCCTTGCTTCCTCCTTGTATCAGCATTAAGGCTTGTACTAACTCTGAACAAGAGGGAGTGGGGACTGATCCCAGTGAAAACCAGCTCATTGTCAGAAACCCTTCAGGCTGATCAGCTCTGTAAGAAGGCTCACCGCACAAGTGCTAGTGTAAGCTTGAGGAACAGAGATGAGAATTTGCCTTTTTTTGGTGACAACCTGAATTTCTGTGGGAATGATCAAATAGCAGTCTTTTAAGTCTTACATTCCAACTGTTTGGAGTATGCTTGATAACTTCAAAATAGTGAAGGAGCGTTGTGGTAAATCAGGTCTTTACTAAGGCTGGTACCTAATGAACTTGTCCTTACTCCTTCAGTTCTCCTACACAAAGTATGCAAGAAAATGTTAAATTGTGACCTCTGTGTAAATCCCTATTCTGTTGCAGGGTGGAGTAGGTGCTGTATGATTTACTGATGACCTGTTGGTGCAGTTGCTGCTCTTGCATTGTTGATCAGGCTGTTAAGAATCTGCATGCATTGGTCTGTGCTCATTAGCTGCTGAATGATAACTGATTTTTGCAGCAGCTAATTTTGTTGTATGCTTATGGGTAACTTCAAATTGTAGTTACCAAGAAGCAGCTGGTATTGGCAGTGGATGGCTGCTGCTGAGCAGCAGTTACCCCAGGCTGCCGCTGCAAAATGCAGGAAATGGTACAGTATCTGCTCTTTGCAATTGCACCACCTGAATATTTGGTAGGCACTGGCAGTCAGCCGATGCTGAGTAACTGTGGTTTTGCAGTTATTAACTGTTACAACCTTTTATCCTGTGATACATCTGACTCTTTTTCTCCAAGGCCTGCATTCCCTCTTTCAAAAACATACTTACTGCTTCTAAATGCATTTTATTTCCACTTGGAAAAAAGGATTCCAGTTTTATAATGGTTCTTCAGGCTCTCCATCTTGCAAGGAGGCAGAACTGGGTTTTGAAAGCTGCTGCCCGACCCAGCTGACCTGTTTGCATTCAGGTTGTAGGGGAGGCAGAGAGGTGGCAGTGCCTCTGCTCCTTGACATTTTGTGTGCGTAGAAGCTTGTTCTTTGTGCCACGTGAGAGTTGTGAGGTTGTAGCTGAAGTACTGCACCATAGGATATCACAGATATTTTTCCGGTGTTCTGATTAGTGTTTATAATAAGTATCCTTACTGGGAGTTCAGAATTCAATTTTCAAATCATTGTCACATTCAGAATTTTTTTTTAAGAGTAGAAAAACGCTAACTGCAGGGCAAGTTTGAGAAGGTACTTTTAGCTTAACCTTGACTTTAATGAAAAAGTTAGGACTTGTTTAAATGGAGTACAGCCAAAAAACTTGAAATATTTATGGAAGTGATTTCATCACTCCCTCTAGCTGCTTCTGTTCAGAGGTGAAGTGACTTTTAGTTGGCTTACCTTTGGAAACAATGGCCATTTTAGTTGCATTTAGCAGATTCAAAAAAATTACATAAAACTTTTAAAAAACTGTTTTCATCAATTTTCCTCTGTATCAGTATTTAGTCAAGGCTGAAGACAAATATTTTCAGTAACAATTTCTTCTATCTATCACTACTACTTAAGCTGAAATGCTAAATTTCTATTTTCCAGGTCTGTCTCTGGAAAGGAATTTGATAGTAAGCAAAATACAGACTTGCAACAAAGCAGGCAGAACTTTCTGAATTGAATAAATGTTGAACAGTGGAAATCGTGACCCTCTTCTAATCAGACACACCAGACAGATTTAATTTTTTTTGCCTCTGTACTAGGAAGCTTGAATGTCTTAAAGCAATATATAAGCAGAACCTCTGTGATCACGCAGGCCAACTACCTTACTCCAGGTTATGCTGTATTGCTTTGGCTGTGCTTTGTCATCTTATGCAGAAGAAGAAAAGTAATCACAAGGAGACCTTACAGAGAGCATTAAATGAGTTCTGACTTGTGTGTGTCTGTGCTCTAAATATCCAGCAGTGCTCAATTGCATGTTATTTTATCAAACTTGTAATAGTAATGAAAGAAATGTCTTTTCTTTGGATGCTCATTTCCTCCATGAAATTAAGTTTTTACGTGTATTTAGGAATTTGTAAAAGGTGTCATACTCTTCATCTGTGTCCTGCTTGGTTAGTAATCTGAGGAGGAAATCTTGAGGTTGATGACTAGTTTTCATCAAAATACTTGCCAGGTTGTGTTTTTTCCCCTCGTAAATTGCAAAGGTAGATGAACATTGCCTTTGCAGACTTCACTGTTTTTCTTAATGTTTCATAATGTACTATTAAGCGAGCTGTCAGTTTGAGGTTTCCTATATCCAGTTCCCTGAACTTAAAAACTCCAATGCTTATTTCAGGTGTTATTTCAAAAGGTGTGGGTTCTTCATTGCTGCTGGAAAGACTATTTCACATCTCAGATTAGCTTTAGTTTATTAGTTCACAAATTTATTGTAATATACTCTGGTGGTGGCTGCAGAAGTAGCTCAGTTATTAAACCATTGGATTGAGGAAAACAATTTGTTTGGAACTGTGATAGTTTTCTCACCTGAAATGTTTGCAAGCAATAGCATTTCTCGCAGTGGCTGCAGAGTACCTACAGTCCTCTTCACATATCTTAATCGAAATTAGGCAGGATGGAAATGACAAAGTTTCCCTGCTAAGTACTCTGTGAAAGTGCAGGCTCTTAACTCTGCAGGGGGTCTGGATGCCTTCAGAAGCATATGGATCTCCTAATTAGTAGTTGTTATTTTGAAATGGGAAGCCAACAGTATGTCGGACGCTAAATGCTGCTAAGGATGTTTCTTCCAGCTAAGGGCCGTACTGGGTTTGCAGATGAGAAGCAAATCCTGCTGCAGGAGGTGGGGGCAGGCAGCTGTCTGCAGGAGAATCAGCTGCACTAACCCATCTTCTGCTCCGCTGTTTGAACAGATGCTCATGCTGTGTTCTTTCAGAAGAGGCTGTCAGACACTATCTTAATGCAGTACACCTTGTAGGCATGGATTTTATGCTTTTCAAATAGTATGAATTTGACTTTATTTGTAAAGTCTTTACTAACTTTTTTTGGCAGTTGAAGTAATTTGCATAAATCAAATGCTTTTTGTGGCCTGTAGCTGAAAACTGATTTAATATGAATTGTATAATTGTTTAAAGAGAGCAACAGATCTAAAGATGGTAATGGAAGCTGTGGAGTAAGTTCATCCTACAGAGTGGTGCCCGGCAGTAACTGGTGGCAGAAGAAATCTTACTGTTAGAAAACGTGAAAGGTGATTGCAGCAGCCAGACTGTATCATTGCAGAGTACTCTATCTTTTCCCTCTCTGTATATTTTATTAAATGTGAAGATCTAAGATTACATATAACGTGCAAATGCAGCTACTTTGCCAGCATGACATTCCTAGGAACTGCAGCGTTTTCTTGAATCGGTCTTCAAGCATCACCTGCTGCAATACTTTTTTTAGCTTGTGACTGATTTCTTGATCTCTTCAAACTAAACTCAGAGAACTCGACAGCTATAACTGTTACATATGAAGAACTGGAGGAGAAGAATGTTTTCTTGAAATATTGTTTTTTCTCCAACTCTCAATTATTTTGGACAAATTGTTTTTTGACAAGTACTTTTGACAAATTCGTTTTAAAGAGTCACAGATATTTATTAGAATGGAGTCTAAAGATGGATGAGTAATGCCACATTCTTGTTAGTTGTTTCCTCTAGTGCACGCTCATACTTGAAATTCAGTGTTGAGGCACTTACAAGACCATGAATGACCTAAGCAGCTAAATAAGGCATTCCAGGTGATGAACCTTAGCATTTCTTTATTATTCTGCTTTTATTTTTTTCCTATTCTAATTGTCTTCATTCTGGCAGGAAATTATCCATGTTCCCTTGTCATGAGACATTGCTGCTTCTTTTTGCATTGCTTGCTGTTTCTTGCAATCCCTTATCTATCTTGATAGCTTGTTCTTTTTCCCTTAAGTGTTTGAGAAGGGTAATTTTGCAAGGTGATCAAGTTCTGTAAAAAGAGAAATACAAGCCTTCGGTAAAGAGAGCAAAAGTCATAGGAGTTGGCCTTTAGCTCATGCAGTGTACTTCACTGTTCAAAGGATTTTGGTTTTGAAGACTTACTGCAGATTGAAAATTTGTTTTTTCAGGAAGCAAAGTAGAAATCCTAAGTTAAACGTAGTGTTTCTTCCCCAGCTTGGAATTAATGGGAACTGCTGTCCACACCTATTTTTCCAGATGTATTTCACTCTGAACTGTCAAGCTCTGGTTTCGAGTCTGATGTATTCACCAACACAGAACATAGGGCTCTCCTTCCTTCTGTACAGTGACGACATGCTTACAGTGTAGTTGGCAATTCAAATACTACTAATAGCAGGGACCATAGTAGCCAGAGACAGGAAAGAGAGAAACTCGTTTAGTCCACCCATCAGTAAAGACTGGTAAAAGATGCGTAAGTAAGGCAATTTCTGTGGGCCCATGTG